TATGAGCTCCTTAATAAATTTGCTCACTCGTCCTTTTTTATTCATGACTAATGTAGTATATCTGCTTTATAGATATTGGTACAGAACCTTGATGTTGATTTTAGGGGATTACTACTTTGACGACTCCTTTGGCTCTTGATAGATTAAATAACCCTACTGTAAAGAGTAGTGCTCATTTCCAGGCCTCCCTGAATATCCCTGGCCCATTGTAATGAATGAATGGAGTCGTTTGTGACAGGCTCTGGAACTATTTTTTGCAACATGCCACAATATACATTTTTCCGCTATTATTACCTATTGAGAGATTAGAAGTTTAATGTTATTTTAATCTTATTTTGTGTCTATAGTGTGTGCTATACTTTTGCTACTTTATATTCACTTATCCTATGCTCTGTGCTTCTTACCTACGGTTTTTCAACTTACAAACAATAATCTCTTGATGTAGATTTACGCTACGACTACCACCACCTGCACCCCCATTATATCACAACATTGATAAGAACCTATAACACCATCCCAACCACTACCTTGCAATCCTTGTATTTCTATCACTACTAAGTCCTGTAATACTAACCAACACCAATTAAACATTTGATTAATAAAAAATAAAAAAATCACTGTAAATATTTGTCTGGCACCGTATACTCTTATGTTGAACGCATTGAGCTCTGGTGTCCTTGACAGCAGAATGGGACCTCTTCCATTTTGGCTCGATTGACTCTCTGATCTAACGTGTTCAGACAGGAGACAAGGTCAAGTTGGACAAGAACAAGAGACATGATCAGAATGATAAAGACGAGCTACAAGAACATCGTGGCTACAATCGAGAGCTTAGTAAATGAAAGATATACGAGTAGGAAGGAATTTGTAAAAGCTTATGTACAATTCTCACACAGTAAGCAGATCACAAAGGTTTGTATCGTGTAGGTGATATAAAAGCATCATTAAACTTAATTACAATTATTCCATATTATAATCCAGGCCATTCTATTTGGAGTTTGCATGTTCTCCCTGTCTGTGTAGGTTTCCTCCAGGTGCATTAAAAACATGTACAATAGCCTCCTGTAACACTTTCCTGCACATAAAGGTCAGTAATAATAAGTAAGCCATGATGCAAACAAGGATATCAGATTTTTCTATGAATGCGTTGAGACAGATACAGACAGATTTACTTTTCATATTTTCAGCACCAAACCAGAGTGGATAGATTTTCCCTGTGATAGGAGAGTTCTGGTCCGGCTCAGAGAAGCACAAATGACGTGAGCATCGACTGAATTATACATGATCAATACACAGAAAAGTGCTGCTTCATGAACACTCACTGGACGGAGCATCAGCTGGATTCAAAGATACAGTACATTTACATGTTTACATGTTTCAAACTAGGGCTGCACGATAATGGAAATTTGTGCAATTGTCTTTCACCTAAAATTGCAATCTACATCGAAACGCAAGAGACAAATAACAACAAATGAGCACAACATTAATGACTTTCAAATGCATATATGTATAGACTTTTTTGTTAGTTTTTTTGTTTTTGTTGAATGTTGATGTGTTTGTCTGTTTTGTTGTCTTTAATAAGTGAAAAATAAAAAAAGTAAATCGCGGATCTTTTCGATATGGATATCGCACACACCAATATTGCGATAACGATATATTGAGCAGCCTTATTTCGAACTACACTCTTTCCAAAGTTAAAATGTGCATGAAATTGAGGTTAACTACATAATATAAATACTATGAAAAATCAAGGTTACTAATTGATTTGAGTCCAGCTGAATTGTTATCTGCTTTATAGATGATGAAATATTCTTTAGATTGGAAGAAATACTAATGAAATCTTTTATTTGTTTTCATTTCACTTTTTATTCAAATTTAGCCCAAACAAGACACACTCACAGCTTTTTCAACTGTGTTTTTAGCCTCTTAACGCTTGTTATTTCTTTACTTGGAATAAAACGTGTAATATTTGATTATAGTTCAAACACCTGAATTCTAATGTTGGATCTGCCTTCTTCTCCTTCGGATGTTGTTTTCAAAATAGATTGAAAATATAATGATATGCTGTGGAATATTCCATGAAAAACAAGCACATTTAAATGGCGGGACCAGCACCAGAAAAGTTATTCAAATCAATATGGACTTGTAAATTATATTAAAAGTGTGTCATTTTGTTTTATCAAATCCGGTTATTTTTGCACAAAATTATATATCTGCACAAAATACATAAAATAAGCAGAGATTGTAGAAGCCAGAGTACGTTAACAACATATGATTCATACAGTTCAGCACAGCCTTATGCCAGCGGGCCAATTTTACACCGATTTGTGCGCAGCTAAACGGGAAGATCCACTTCCTGATACTCAAATTTCATTATGGAAATGTCTGGATGCAGGAGACTGTGATGCATTGTGGGTGGTTGCAGTGGGTGGTGGGTCTGGAGATCCAGGGTGAGGCTCCACAGAAGAGGGACACTTTAATTAAGTTTAGTGACAGTGCAAGATGAAAGCTGATTATGTGGAGGTAGATTTAGTGCTGGAACTCATTGTAAAAAGACAAGACTGAGCTGGAGAAGACAGCTCCTGGAGGTGAAATAAATGTATCAGTTGCAAACTACAATCATTATTTATCAGCATATTATGGTGTCCCTTCAACACTTTTAAAGAGATGTTGGTTCCAGTGAAGTCAAACTATGATGGAGCCCAAACAAATCACTGATCATCCCACCAGGAGCCGACTTTTGGACCATCCAGTAAAACCGTTTTTGAGAGGAAAGAAGACGCCATACAAAAGCGTTGGGTAATTTTCTTTCCGGGTCCACCCTCACTGGCCAGGAGTGAGATTTCAAGAATCTCAGCGCACATGCTCATGCGAAATTTTCTTCCGGATGCTCCAGTTTCCCGTACCTCTAAAAACAAGCATACAGTAATAGTTCAGGGTGAATGAGTGTGTATTTGTGAATGTGACAATGGGACAACAGATGCAAATTAGAGTTATTCCCTGTCCCGCTGAGAGACAGACATTCGCTTTGCTATTCTTGTCCTATTTTTGAGCATCAAAAATACTAGAAAAGTGTTCATTTCAAGTTGTGTAAGATTTATTACTCCACATTCCCAGACTTGTTACACATCAGATCATTTGTCTTCCTCTCTAGAGGCTGCTCTCTGCTATTGCAATTGTCACAGATTATCACAGATGAATGTAGGTTATGGGCGCAGAGCCGGAGCGGAGCTAACAGGATTTCCACCAAAACTGGACCAAGAGACAGGATTACTCTGCTCCAAACATGACACTGCAGTGCGGACTGACAGACTGGGAAGGATAGGGAATTACAATGATACTTTAGAGAATGGTGGAGGATTTATGTTTTTCAATTATTGAATGTCTTTGGTTTGAGCCTTAAAATGTATTAGTGCTACCAACTTTCAAGTTTTTGTGTGAAGCAGTCGGTCGTCTTGTGAATACTTAACATCTTAAGAAGTTTGGTATTTGTTAACTTTAACTTGCAACTGCCTCCTTACCAATATGGGGAGGTCTTGAACACATCGATACTTGAAACCTTCCAGCAGGTTGAAAAGTCACAGTATGAGATAAGAAATCCTTTATTTGTGGGGAAATTTTAATATCAGTTTGTGCTAACTTAGCCATTAGCTAAGGTGGCTAACACGGCTCCAGCGGCCTCAGAAGTGGTCAGTATTTCAGACTCGCTCTAAACGACTGCTGACGTATGTGTCCTCGGGCAAAGGTGAATTCCAACTTTGAGATGTTCTTTTCTCTTAGAAATCAGACAGCCACACTCTGCTTCACACACCTGCCCACTGAAAACTGAGAAACCAGATTTCTGCAACGCCTCATTGACTTCTTTACTTTTGACGGTCAAAAACATTACCATACCGTTTCAAGTTAGGCAGCCCACAATGCATTGCTAAATACTTCACTGTTCAATACACTCTGTACATTAGAGCAGCTCCTTCATTGGACGTTTTTAAGTCTAGTTTAAAGACACATTTTTGCACCTTGGCTTTTAACACGAATTGAGTTTTTTACCATTTTCTTTTTACATGTATGTGTGTGTATTTCATGCTGTTTTCTTTTGTTTTATCTTTCGTACCCTGTGAAGCACTTCGAGCAGCTGGTGTTGTTGTATATGTGCTATGCAAATAAAACTGACATTGACATTGACATGGACAAAAACCGCAATTCCATGTGGAGAATCTTTGACTGTAAAAATTAAAAGCAATATATAAGGAGAATGATTAGTCCTGCTCTTTAAAGATGCAGTCAGTGATTTTTTTCCAGACGCATTTTTTATATTGTTGGAAAACGTCCCTAAACCCTAAAAGTAGTAAAGTTAAAGTGTGTTTTCAAATAGTCACGGAATCGACCAGATGCCTATAGTCTCAAAAAATGTATAAAAAATATTTGGAGCGGACCGATAAAAATAAACCAATGGGATGCGTTTACCCCCTTCACCCTCTTCCTGTTTCTGATAAACTGAGTTATCGGATTTTCTAAAACATAAAAGGGCGGAACAGAAAATGCAAATTTCACGTTTGCCACCCACTCTCCCTGTTGTGACTAGAAAAGAAAATGCTGGATGTTTGGTTCAGTGGAGAGGCGAGTGGTTTGGAGTTGGTGGTACGGCTAAGCTAGCAAAATCGGTTGCTGCAACACTGCACTTTCCTCACTGTCAGATGAATAAACTGGGAACACTGAGTTATTACAGAGGTTAACTTCTATCAGCAGCAGCTTACTCAGAGCAAACATTGTGACAGAAGAGATGGATGCTCTGTAAAATCAGTTTTTGTTTTCATATTTTGAATACATTTTAAAAAAGGTGTAGTAGGAACATTCTGAATTATACAGATTTGTGTCAAAGCTGCTTGTGGCAGAGTGGTTAACATTGTCTCATCACTAAAAGTGCAGGGACCTCGGCTGGGATTGAGGCAGTAAAACACCAACATATTTGAAGCGTACATTTTATTTAATATAGCTTCCTCTCATACGTCCACCAGAGCATCTTCATATTTTTCCGAGTCTGAATCCGTCTCATTCTCTAGTGCGGGTGGTGCGATGATAAAAGCTTCTGGTCTGATTTTGTCATCTGAACACATCTCATACAGCGGCACCGTTGCCTCTTGTCGCCCTCTTTCGATATTGTCATCCTCTTCCTGATTTTGGACGGCAGTGTGCATCTTGGTGTAAGGCTCCCGGCTGAATACTGGAACTCTGTCTCTGATCAAATGAACGAACCGGGACCACAGTCTTCTGGGTGCTCCTGCTGTTGCGCTGAGTGATCTGCGTGCGTCTGATGGTCTTCTCGCTTCAGGACCAGGCATTTTGTTTGCATGTATCAGGTCAGTGCTGAGCTCCTCGTCCATATTCAGATTAGTTGTTAGGTCTAGACGATTCAACAGTCTCACCGATATCGTGCACTGGTGGTTATTGGTCCAGAGCAGCTGCAGGAGAATAGATATAACAATTCAAGTTTTTTTTTTTCTAAATGCAAACTTCTGTATTTTGATATTGTCTTACCTTATTTGTTACGCTGACTCTAAAATCCCGGTTTTGACGTTGTTTTGTTTTGATTGGTTGTTGCTATGTTAGAATGTTTTTAATTGAAATTACACAAGCACACCCATAAGAAGGCCAGTGTATTTTGATAAGAATTGAATAATAATAAATCGTTAAAGATGCAGTAAGCGATTTTGTTAGCACCAACTCGAAACCACTCCCCCCTCCCCTCGCCTCTCCACCAAACCAAACATCCAGCATTTTCTTTTCTTTGTGACAACAGGGAGAGTGGGTGGCAAATGTGAAATTGGCATTTTCTGTTCAGTCCTTTTAGGTTTTGGGAAATCCGATAACTCAGGTGCGCACACTCGCGAGAAACAGGAAGAGGGTGAAGGGGGTACAAATTACATCGTTGGGGATGAACAAATTACATTGGTTTATTTTTATCCAAAATATTTTTTATTAATTTTTGGAGACTGTAGACACCTGGTCAATTCCATTACTATTTGAAAACACATGATAACTTTACTACTTTTAGGGTTTAGGGACGTTCTCCCACAATATTTTAAAAAAATGCGTCTGGAAAAAATCACTGACTGCATCTTTAATACATGGACTTATTTTATAAAATCAAAGTCTTTTTTCACTTTTTAATAGTGTTTTCTATCTCTTCCGTAAAACTCATTGAAACGACCGTATATTTTCCAAATAGTTAACATAAACAAATCCAAAAAAGACATGTTTGTTTTCATAGATCATTCATGAAGCACAAATTATTCATTCACTCAAGGCACAAAAGCCACAGCTGCCCTTGGGTAGACTGGGGTAGGGCTTCCATATTGGTGTCACCCCCGAACCCTGGGTCTGTGACTTACATTGCACCTGTCAAAAGTTTCATGCCCCGTCCCCTGACTTCCCTCTTCAACTTTCTCATTTCCACATTTCTTCACCTTCTGTCATTCAGGACATTCACTGAGCCTTTTTCACTTTTCTCATCTCATGCTGCTTTCTGCCTCCTCAAACCATCATCACACATTTTCTGGGACTTGGCTTCCCCAGATTTGCCTTCTGAAAATAACTTCGAGAGAAGTTTTAGTATTAGAAAGATTGGCTTTTGCATCATCTCTGCTGCAAGATTGGTTAGTACATGAATAACAGATGGATGGACATACTGTACACTGCAGCAAGATACATGCTTTAGGCAAGAAAATGTGCCTGAATAAATAGGATTTTGATGAAAGCATTAGGTGGAAGAAGGATTAAAAGTACAGATACAGTAGCAGTAAGTATCATCCATCTTATCACATGCTTTACAAAGTGCCCTCCTCCCTTCTTGTTATTCAAGATTTAGCTGCTGAATACTATGTGAGCACACAGATCAACCCTCCACTGACCCTTGTGGCTTGGATCCAACGTTGGAAAACCTTCTGGAACAGGACCAAAGCTTTTTATGACGTAGCTCTTACATTTGGCAGTGGATTTTGAGCAACAACATGCATGGACTCCTTTCTGCAGTCTGGCATTGAGGGCGCGGGAGGTGTAAAGTGTTGATGGAAGAGCCCAGAGGGAGATGTTATGAGTGCTCTGATATTTAGTGGCATTTACAAAAGAAAGAGAGAATGGGGAGTGTGTGTCTGCAGAGAGCAAAAGATATTGATCCAATTATTGATAATATGCTCTTATTGTTCTGCCCATTCCTGGTTTTCCCTTTATCACAGCCGCTCCATTTCATTTTTTCCCTTTTCTGGCATCTGCCGTTGTTTTATTCATGTAGACCTCATGCTGTGATTTTAACAAGCGTCAAAGTGAGATGTGAACCTGTGACCCACTGGAAGTGTTGCAGCGGTGTGTGTGACCGAGGGTGATTTTTTATTTCCCCTTTTGAACATTTCATTGTTCTTAAATGAATAAATGTCAAGGTTCACTTCACATTACTTCTGGCTCGGCGCATGTGCCATCCACCTGTAGAATGCAAGACTGTACAGAAGCGTTCTCCCAGTTCGCAAAATAAGTGTGAAATCAACTCAGACTCCCGCTGCGTAATACTATTTAAACTATAGCGGCAGTGTCAAAACATCGTAAAACCATTGTAGTGTTGTAGAATTTAGTGTTGTAGAAATTAAAGAGAAATGTAATGTGTTGTAGAATTTGGTGTTGTAGAATTTAAAGAGTAATTTAATGTATAATTGTATGTGTATTGTGTTAATTAGTGCAATACAGTGTTTACCTTATCCTCTATTGGCCCCTCAACATAGTGTTAATGTTGTAAGTAAATAAGTAAGTAATCCTTATTTATATAGTGCCTTTCACAGACCAGAGTCACAAAGCGTTTTACAATTGTTGTGGGTATTTGTCTCTCACTGCACACAGAGAAGGGAGTGAGGTTTGTAGCGGTACTTGTATGTATGTATGTACGTTATTTGAACAGGGACAGTGTACAGTTAAGCATTCACACAAAAGGAGAGATACATGTACCTCCACCTTCTGGAGAAGCCCTCAGGAAAGGGGTTTTCTGTGTCTTGTGAATCATTATTATAGATATCACTTTATAAAGGAAATGGTTGTTCCGGAAAAGCCATTTAAAAAAAATCCTTCAAGGAAATGACAAAATATGCAGAGGTCTGGGTTTGTGTCTCAGCAGTAGACATGTTTTATTGTTGTGTACAGCATAAGTGCTCACATTGTTTTATACCAAGAGAAAATGCAGCATCAGATATGTTTGCTTCGACCTTCAGAACAAAACATGAAATGTACGAGTACTGACCTCTGCAGACTGTTGTAATAACCAGCTCAGCTTTTACATATTTTCACTAAAAGTCTTATACATTTTCTAAAATGTTCAACAACAAAAAAAAACAATCCACAAACATAGTGACCATTACACAAACAAAAGGTTGCCAGTTGTGTTGGTCCATATGTTGAAAGAGCTCTCACTAGTACCACGGAGAGCTCCAAAAAGGCAAAGTCCACAAATGTCCACAAATCAGAATCCTTTTCTTTTAGTTAGAGAATAAAATGCTCTATGAAAGTTTAACCACTATAAACACACACAAGTTTTATCCAATGGAAACATTTGAATGAGAATTGAGTCTTTTGGTGGAATGGTGAATGACATATAGTCTTTACACCAGTTGCAGGTATGAATATATTGGAAAATGATAGGAAATAGAAAATAATAGCAGAGATGGGCCTGTACATGGAATTCAAATCAGGCATAATTTACACCAAACACATTTTCTTATAATGTATTTGTCAGAGTTGGGGTGTACACAATAGCAGTTTAGCCCCAGTATAGAAGATTCCAAAATAGCTAAGCTTGGATAAAAATAAAAGAGAGAAAAAAAGGTTTGAACATATTTTGCCAAATCCTAAATCTGTTTTTAGGAAGAAATCATCTAAAAGTATAACATTGTGTGTGATTATTCTGAGTTAGTTCTAAACAACACTGCTGTCGTTGTGTCCTTGGGCAAGAAACTTAACCCCACTTCGCCTGAAGCCCCCGCTGGAACACCAGGGCCGTATCCGGAGCAGCCATCTTCCTGTGGACCCACCGGCTACAGGAGGATCAACGAGGGACTGGTTCTTTGTGAAATGTGTGGCAGCTCTGATTGCCACCCCCTGACCCAGAAATGGATAATAAAGGGATGAAAATGTAATGTAATGTAGTTCTAAACTGCAAATGAGGCCCTGTTCAGAGTTGAAAATGAAATGAAGTTCACACCACTGCCTTTTGACAAGATGAAGGTAATATTTGGCTTGTTAATTGCATAACTTTAAATATGTCTAACCAAAGACTTGGACATTTCATAAAGATTCTTTAAATGCATGTATGTTGCATGATCGATAAGTGCAGACTCCTGGCAGGAAATCCCACCATATATCTCCATTTATCAATCTGCTTGCAGCTTCTGTTCCTATGACAACAGGCGTATGTGTGTGTGAGTTTGTATGTGTGCGTGTGTGCGTAAGTGTGTATGCTTGAGATTCTGCCATTGGTAAAATCGTTCCTTCTTGGAGACAGACGGGGCACAAGATCAGGGTCACAAAAAGCATTTTTTTTTTTCCGGAGAAATACTTAAAGTCCGAATGGAGAGGACACGTGGAAGTATTTCTATTGAAGAAGCAAGACGAGCTCAAGGTTCGCTGGAGAGAGTACCGTACTATTATTGTCTGTATACACACCTTTCATTTAAATATTGAAATTTGACTTTCTTACCTCAGCCATGCAAGGTGTTGCCTCCCTGCCGTGGTTCAAACAACAACATAAACAAGGAACTCTCAAAATTATCTTTTCTAGCAATATTTCAATAATAGATATCAGTGGTGCATTACAGTAATGTGAAAAACAGCAATATTTTCAAACCTTTCCTCATTTTAATTATTTTGAGGAACTTGTTTACAAGAGACAAGCAACAGCCTATTCAAGCAACCGCAAGAGGGAGGAATTCTAGCCTGGTCCTCGTCGTTAGATATAAAAGTAGGATTCTATCTGCAGTAAATCTGTAAACAAATGGCCCATTAACCGCAGCAGCTGAAGTACATGTGACATTTTACAGATGTGAAAATAACAGTTTAGTGCAGAGTCGCTGTCAGACTAACACTAAACGAACAGTGAATTTACATAATGCACCGTGTGTTTGTCAGCCATAAGGTCATAATTACATGTGTGAGATAGAAAGTGGAATGGAACTGAAGGGCTGTCAGAAGAATCATATTTTTGTTAATTTTTTTTCTGAATTCAATAGATCGAAAGGAAAAAGAAGATAGATTCCTCTGTTCGCTTGGTATGGTAAGTACTTTATAGATACCATTATGGCTACTCTCATCGTATGAAAGAAGCACAAATGAATGAATAAATGTGAGCGTCTCTTATTTGGAAAGTGTCTTTGAGTCACTTTGGACAGCACTAAAAGAACAAGTGTGCTTAACATGTATATACATTACTCCAGTGTGAGATCAATAACGTCTGTCTTATCTTATCTTATATGTATTTGTGTATGCTAATTAAAATCGATATTTTGATAGCAGCATCAATACCCACAAATATACCCATGTCTATTTTACAGTATGAGAGAGAGCTGATTTCTATGTGTCAATATACAAAAAATGGTGACTGGAACTTGTTTATCAAAACGTACAAACAATGAATTAAATGATAATATAGTAACACTAGAAAATCTATATTTTTTCTGACCTGGCTTGTAACTTTGGCGATGGCTCGAGTACTGGTCAAGTGAGTCCATGCAGATAGATCTATGGGTCTCATGATTAATCTCAAGAATTCAAGTATTCCAAACGCTGCATGATTTAATGAAACACTTTGATGTTAAATGTCAAAAAAACATTCTGATGACTGTAAGAGTAAGCTCTTCTTTGTCCTGCTGCTTTGATGGTGTTGCATGTCTCTGGCTGAGTGCCCGGGTCTAATTGCCTGCTACCCCCGACCCTTTGCCTCCACTGATCCCTCCCGTTGGGGTCTGCACACATACAAGCACACAAACACACACACACACACACACACATACAGAAGGAAAGGTTGTACTTTGGTTTCTCGAGAGTCCAGTCCACTACATATTGTCTCATTCAGACGGTCAGTCTTGCTCGTCCACACACTCCGTTTTGTTCACACCCACACTGGCGGGGGGGCAGTGGAGACAGGTGGCTAGACTGTGGAGTGAGGGGGGGATGACGTGATGCATATTCAATAAGAGCCGGAGGGACACCAGAGGAGAGAAAATGAGAGGAGGGGGTGTACTGGGGAGGGGGCAGATCTGCCTGGGCTGGGGTTTTAATGCAGCTAATCGTCTGTTGACGTGTGCTTGAGGGGTATTCTGTTTTTTCGGATTGTATTTATTCTTTGGGATTTTATATTGATTTTAAACACAGAAGATTTACAACGAGTGAATGAAATGACTGTTTTTTTGGACTTTATTTGATGCATGGGTTATTCATGCGTCTTGAAATGAGTCAAGGTCTCCCCTCAGAGGCCCTCCAGGGGAGCCCCAACCGTTGTCAAGTGCAGCAAGTATAATTTGTAGAAAATATAAATATTTTGTGAAATTACAATATAAATATGTTCTTATCTATCTATGTATAGTATTGTAACCACGGGCGGTTATCCTTCTCTAAGCTCGGGTCCTCTACGAGAGGCCTTGGAGCTTGAGGGTCCTGCGCAGTATCTTTGCCGTTCCTAGCACCGCACATGTCTGGACCAAGATTTTCTCTCTGAGCCCTTGGTATTTCAAGCTTTTCCTGTTCTTTTCTAACCTTGCCTGCAAGCTGAATTCACGCGGTATTTGTGAGTTCACAAACACTCGAGAATACATCTTGCCCCGCTCCCGCCAACCCTTTTCGAGAGGAACATCTAGGTGTTCAAGCCAATCACGCGCCAGTCTGGGGGTTTAGGGCGGGATATCCGGGTTTGACGAAAGCAAGAAGTGCCGGGCCGAAGCAAAACAAACATGGCTACGCACGAGGACGGACGCGTAGCTGAGGCTATCAAGTCAGTTTTAGCAGAATCTCC